GCAGATAGTTTATACCGAATCAGTTTGTCGGACATGGCCAACCTCCATTTCTTAATATCCGAATTTACTGAAGTCACTTGTGCTTGGAAATGAATATAGTCATTCCTTACAGTCATTTGATCCTCACCAAAGCTGGTGTACGCCTTTCAACTGCTGTTCTTGCTCCTTCGTTGGAACAAGTGCATCCATGCCGTACAACAGCACTTGCCTAACAGTGACAAGATGCAGGGGGACTTTTGAGGGCGGAGATGCTACTTTCTCACCCCAATTATTAGACAGGTTTCCAAAAGCACTCAAGGCTCCCTCAGGTGAACTACTTCCGTTCCTCGAGTGGTTGTACTGACGCCACGTGGAAAAATCAGCAAGATACTTGATAAAGAAAATTTTTTGAGACTCGAACTCGTTGGGTCCGGAGTTCGAAGTCGACCTCTTAACTGACTTCGCACAATAGTGCAACGACCCCATTCTAACCTTTGAAACGTTTCGTTGGTTTTGCTTCCAGTGACCTATGAAACCCAGCTGTGTGCTGTCTTGAAGGAAATTGAAAAATTGTTAGGGTGAGAAATCAAAAATAGATCGCGTGGCGATTTTCAAATGTAGGCCGTGCATTTTCGTGGCGTGAGTGCTTCCAGTTTGCCTTTTATTCCGTTACTTATGAACTGAATCGTAAACGTGTTCCCGCCAGACAACGTAAGAACAGACAGCAAAGGCGTTAAACGCACACAATGAGAATTAAAACATTTGAAAAGGTAATTAAATTAATTCATGAATAAAACTTGACTATATTGATTCCGTGATGTTGGGGTGAAAAGATTTCAGATCCAGTGTGGCGGTCAGTAGTATCGAAAGAGCCTTTAAGAAGCTCATTAAATTAAACCGATTATTTAAACTAAAGACTTAATAAACATTTTTGCACCTGCATTTGGATGAGAGTCACCACATTTCAGCAGAACATTTTACAGAAACAACGCGGACATAAAATTATGATTTAACGTCTGCAAAACTTTCGTCCTTTCTTGGACATCAGGCAGCAAATACTGTGAACTTGAGTGCACTTCTTTCATCCGGTGCATTATCTAAGAAACAGCCTCCAAAACACTGGTAGACATGACACGACAGATCTGCCGCCTTTTGGACTCAGGGAAGGTCACTTTCCATATTTATCCTTCCAAGGACCACCTCGTGCGCTCTACTCTATAGAAAAACGGAAGAGGGTGACACTCCTCGAAATTAGAATCCATATTAAAAACCGTAAGTATCAAAACCTCATCTTACGCCAGAGTATGTCCAATGATGTGTAGCTCCACCAAGACCAAATTTCACGGCGTATTGCATCGCTCTCTTGGTCGTAGTTGTATATGCTCAAAATATCGTTCACCAAAGGTCATTATGTTTCGATGTTCTTGGAGTACCACCTCCTGAAACATCATTCTTGATGACGGCGAGGTGACTCTAGCGGACAAATTGGTGAGATTCATCTGGCATGACGGGTACTGAAATAGCATTTAGTCCTAGCCTGCTTAAATGGCCCCTTAAACAACTGGCAGCGAGGGTGCGGCGCAATGCGCAGAGAAATCAGATCTTACAGCAGTTATGCATTATTTATAACAGTGTGCTGTTAGGTACGTGAAACTTAAGACACAAAATGCGATTGGCTGTTGAGAGCAGAAAAATATTTCAGCAACTGAGTGGTGTCAATTAATACGGTTTCGCCTGAAATGGTCAGCAATGTCTATAATTAGAATGAAACCATTTCAATAGGTTAAATTAAACCAATCCAGATAGTGATCATACTGAAGCTCTGTTTATTTTTAATTGGTGGTAAATACGACTAAACTAAAGGATTCATTTCATCACCAGTTGCTTGATGGTATTCTTATCATGTTGCCCGTGAACTTACCTTAGGTAAATATATCAGTATCAATACACATATAGTCATAGGATATCGAAATCAACTGTGAGTGTCAATAGTATATTCGTGAGGCACTGCGAATGCAAATTTACTTGTTCTACGTGTTGACCTTTGATCTACTTTCTGCCCCTGTACAGTTTCTTTCATTTGCGCTGAAATTGTCAAGCGCATGAACTTGACAGATTGATCGTGTGGCAAAACAACCTGCCGAGCAAGGGGTCGTAAATTGATCAAATATAAAAACTGAATCAGCATAAGAACCTGATATTCGACCAGGTTCGAGTTTACAAACTTTACAGATGTGCTGTTTGTTGTTTTGACTGCTGAATAACTGGTCACTTCTTGGCCTAAGGTGAAATTGAAGCTGGAATATTTCGTTGGCACGTCGGTAATCGTAAACACTGTTTATATGTACATAACGCAAATCGATCGTATTTTGGGTTATATATAAATATAAATAATCGGTGTCTTTTGATGTTTTCAGGGTGAAACTGGTAAATTTAACTTTAAATTTTAAGCGCCCTGGTAACCTTATCTGACAGGGCACTCCAAACACAAACTCGACGCAAAGGTTTGTAGCCATTGTCCATCCAATCAGTTTTCGAAGGGTGCTTCTTGAAATCTGCATCTGAACGAAACTTGACGGTACATGGATAAGAAGAACGGATGATACCGAGAGTGCTTAACAGATTACATCAGGAAATAGATACAACCATATCATTTGGGCCTTTGAATGATCACGAACTAGAAACCGTGGCGTAGTACGTTGTGGACTATTTTACATTCAAGTCGTTTTCCTTCTGCATGGAGCCCATTTTATATCATTAATATAAATGATGAAAAGCAAGTGCTGTTCCTGTTATGGTTTCACTTCGAAACGGACCAAACCAAACTAACCAGCAATATCAGTATCAGTCATTTCATAGCTAAAACTTAGGCCGTAATGATAAATATAGTTGAATATCCTACTTTGCTTAGATTAATTATTCATAACCTATTTCAGACAGTACTCAGTGGGTCTTAGACCTCGCTGACAATTTCCTGGCATGTATCGCGTCAGCGATGGGCTATCCGTGAACGGCTAAAACAATTTTCTCGAACTGAATATAAAATAAATGTCAAAAGATCAAAACGGTTATACGTCTATGGGCGGAGGTATGTTCCACCCAACAAAATAGTGTTGTTTTGCCACCTCCCTATGTAGTGTAGCTGCTAAAGCGAGCCTTTGTTCGTTATGACGGTCCCTTGGGCTTCTAGAACCAGGTAGGCGAGGCAGCGACGAAGTGCAAAGCCAGAGAAATAGCACAAAAAACGGACATGATTAGCTGACAAATAACAGGACAGATGATGCATAAGATCAGAAAACTTTTCTCTTGGAAGATTGATTTCTAACAGTATGTACAGACAGATCTGAACTGCGACATGTGATTGATCGGTTCATTTCATCCATTCATATTATGCCAGGCAATCTGCAACAAAATATTGAAATAGCTTAATACACACGGCTAATTAATACTTTAAGCTAGTCAATTGAAAGATACATCAAAACTGAAAGTTCAGCCCTATCTCTCGGGCCTTCCTCAAAGTAAATTTGTAGATGAAACATCGATTTGTCATCCAATAGACCGTTTTATTACACTGCATTAGTTTTAGTAGCCGTTTTTCTACTGTTCTTAAATACGAATACCAACGCAGAACAAAACATTCCGTTTTTGTATAATTACTCAATTAGGCTTAAAGAGTACTTATGTAAATAAGGTACTCGAACAGGTTGTTGCTCTTCGACACAATACCGTGGTGTGGTTTTCTTCCATGCACTGCAGGAACTACATCATTAAGTTATAGCCTGCCTAAAGTTTGTCCCAAACCTTAAAAGTAAAGCCTCAATGAGGTAACGCCGCTTAAATTAGTACCGATATTGCTATGGTACATATATGAAGTACCGATCGTCGCTATGTTTCAGATGTATTTATCCGTTATACAACGTAAATTAGGCAGTTGAAACTTGCATAATCCCTGCTCAGCCAGTAATGCCACAATTTGACCTCAACGAATTGATATTTATCCAGTCTGTATCGTTATATCTTAAAAGTAAATTAAGGCTCGAAACTTTGGCAAATTCTGTGATAAAGTCTATTTGCGGATCAATCTGTAAGAAACATACATATACCGATGAATAATCCTTTGAAACAGCAAAATTCAACGGTAATTGTTTTATTGTCAAACAGAAGACGGCTCCAAGAAACAGAAACAATGAAATTGGTAGAAACCGAGTAACAACGAAGTTTCAGTGTTCGATCATACCGGTCCTCATTAAATCACACAGAATTGTTTGAACAGCAAAGGCACATGTGTCGTGGTTGCATCGGCCGGACATCTGGTAGACGACGGAGGCCAAACGTTGAAAATGTGCCACTCGGGCGGAAGTTCAAAGTAGCCGAAAAAACCGCGTTTAAGTAAAAACGAGGAAATTCGTAAACTGAACTTGACCGATGGATGGGCAACGACATGTTCATGTGGACCAAGCCCCGAGTGTCGGAAAGCCGATCACTTACAAAAACTTATGACCGTTCGCCGGCTTCAGGCCAGCGAGAGGAAATGGGGAATCATTTTCGACGAGGATCAACTTCCGGGACCGGCTGTCGGGTGGGGATCCTTCGCAGGGCTCATCGTCCGGACAAATGTTGAACTTCCGGTACCGATGGGCATGCTTAATGTGAGCGAAGTTGGCGGCCAAACTGCCATTGAAGTGCGACAGGCCAAGCAGGACGGCGAAACAGCCGACGAAGGCACTCCAGTACCACGGAGAGAAGACTCGGGTCAGCTGGCAGAAGTGACTGATCGGCATGCCGCAGAGGATGAGGCTAACGGCGCCTTTTGGGTTGCCGTTGGCGAGAAAAAGCGACACTATCGAGAAGTTGAAGCACATCTGGGACTCGGTGCCGCTCTGCGGAAGGCAGATGTTGGCGAACACGACGTAGGTGGAGATGAGCACGACGACTACGCACAGGATACCCAGCCAGGTGATGTTCAGGAGGTAGCTGATCACCCAGAACGTGCCGCACATCGCGCGACTGCCGATTTTTGAGCATAGGCACGGTGAACTGCGGCCGTGGTATGAGTATTCGAGGTGGCGAGTGGCGAAATAGCCGCAGACGCACATGGCCAATGTGCAGAAGATCATCAGCGCCGAGAGACACACCAGAATCATTCTGACCTTCCTCAGCCACGGTAAGAGGAAAGTGAACAGCTCGGATGAAACCTTCTCCATCGCCTCGATGCCCTCGTACATCTTCAGGCCGAAAAGAGCCACTCCGATCCACGACAAGATCAAGGCGATGACCGACGCCAAAGGCAACGTGCCTTGTAAAAGCCCTGCCATGTGGTTATCACGGGCTAACACCACAACGCCCAGTCATTGCGATGGATGGATGAGTCGCTGGCAGTACGACCGACTGACCGACCGACCGACCGACCGTGGCCAGCGTCTAACAGCTAGACGTCTTCACGTCGCCGATGACAGGGAGTCAACGCTAGCGCCTCACGGAGGAACACCTCGTCTCTGCCATATTACCTGTCGTCGTGAACGTTGCTGCAGCCTGTCGTCGTGTATCAAGAACCAGTCGACTGCGTCGTCAACAACAGAACGAACCGGATCGGTTAAACGTTAAACGTTCAGTGTTCAACGGCACCGTTGTGCAGCCGGCTGCGCCTCTAAAATATGGGTCATTGCCTCTTCGTGTGGCCGACCGTCGTCGGGAGGCAGCTTGGTCATGTGAGCTGTGGTCCATCATCCAGCGGCCGACCCGACCGACCGACGCTGGCCAGTGCCAAGCAATTAAGTTTTGCCACTATGGATGCTATGGAAACTCTGCCATCCAACGGCTATCATGTGCCGCCCTTTGTCTGGCGCTCGGTCCAATGAAATGTCACCACCACCGTCGAGCGACCTTCTACGAGAGCCGAGATTGGCACTGTCACTCACTGGTCCATCACTGTTCGTTGGTGGTGGTTGCAGGAGTGAGAAGCAGAGGCACGTGATCTCTCGTGTTACCTCGAAGCACGGGCCCTTTCGCACGACACGCGAACGGCAGCCGTCCCGAACCGATGCTGCCGCCGGTAGTTAGTAGTTTCTGCACGAGCGTATCACAAGATGATGATGTCAACAATAACTGGACGCTGCATCTGCTCATTAACTGAATTTGACGTGACTCGTTTCAGAGCGAGGCTAACGAGTTGTTTGTCAGTCCTGTCATACGAGGGACCTCGCCAGGGAGTCAGTACCCGATTATACCAGCTTCATAGCCTCGCATGTTGCATTCAGGCCTTGGAAAACGGCTGTCAAGAACTCTCTACCGAAAGTGAGCAATCGACGGAAACAGGTGTCAGTTTAAAAGTTTGAGAAGCCGGCCGGCTTCGAATCGACGCGAAATTTTCCGAGACCACGAAACCCAATTTCGTGCAGTGGTTTGCCTTGTGGCAGCATTGACGGTTGATATGTCAAACATCTGTAATGGGCACATCGTGCAAGAATCATTAATGCTCTCGTTGTCACTACAGAAAATTTCAGCTGTATGTATTTTCGGAACGTCATTTTTCAATACACACCAAGGTTATGAGTCTCCTCACTTTTCCTTGGTGTAAACGACTCTGGGCACCCCATAAGATACTTCTTTATTTTATTCAACGTTTCGGCTGCCGACACAAGAGCCGTTCTCAGGAAATTTTTTTCGCGACATAAGTGTACAGTATGTATCATACTAGTTGTCCTGCGAGAGCACCAGCCGATTAACGTCGCCGACCATTTGCCGTCGGTGACCCGAGCTACACTCCAAGACGTCCTTCACCCCCTTCCCCTTTTTGATCACCGTGTTGGCCACGTGCTCATGGTATGAAATTCTCGGCATTATTCATTCCATAATTCTCTCAGGTGAGAGATAGCTGGCGCTCTTTGTCTTTACTAAATAATAACGTCTCACAGAGGTACAATATTGCCAGTATGGCGATCGAATTGAAGATTTGGACAGGGAATGCAATTCTGATGTTGCCGAGGACGACGTGTTTAATGGAACGCGTGCCGTCCGCCCCTCTTCTACCGATCAATCTCCCCAGCCTGATCATGTCGTATGTTGGCTTCTTGACCTCGGCAAATGATTTATCTACACCTTTGACCTTTTCATTTTTTAATATTACCTAGTCCTTGGGCAAAATGTCCGATTGCTTTCGTCAGATCTTCATCTTTGACCAATTGATTCGCGGTCTGACTCCTCACTTATCGGACCATAGGTGGCTCAGATGTTCAGGATTAATCGAAAACACCCCTTCCACAGAGGCAATGAAGAGTTTGGGGGAAAGAGAGTATTTCTGTTTCACGCCATTCTTTGCTGGAATCCGAAAGGAACGTTGAACAGCCTGATTTTTGTGTGGCAGTTAGAACACGTTTCCATTAGCAGGTGCATGTGGCGGGTTTTGAAGAACTATTTTTCCAGTAGCTTTTCACGTTTGACGCTTTACTCGACGGTGTCGACGAAGCTGACGAACAGCAGGAGCTGGAATTTCCTCCCGCACTCAAAGAGTTCACTTACGATAAAGATGTTTTCCATCGTGACGTAGCTCCCTCAGAATCTTGTTTGTTTCCAGAAGTTTGTCCAGACATCTTGACGGTCTGTTGGTGATGACCACGCTGAAGAGAGCAGGTAGAGGGTGATAGTTCGTCAGATCATCTTTTTCGCCGTCCTTGAGCAACACGACTGTTGTTTACTCTTTCCTTCTTTATAGCATCTTTTCTCCTTCCAGATAGCACCCGAACTTTTTCGTTAGAGCCCTCAGCATCGTCTGATAACCTGTTCTTATCATTTCATTTATCAGACCGTTTCTCAGGCGCGGCTCTTCTTTCCTTCATTTGCTGCGCAGCATCTAAACTCTCTTATGAGTTAGATGACCTTGTTTGTACTCGCTTATGATGACCGGGAGAGTGCACTACCTTCTGGCTGCTGGAATGATGGTGGCGGTGGGCGGGGGACGCATGTCTTGACGCGGAGAGCTGAGTCTGAACGTTCTTGCAGAGAGATGACTCCTCACCTATGTCAAATTGGACCTCACGTTAATACGCCTTCCTTGTTCTTCAGCACCATTACGGCCGAGGCTGACTGGTAAATCTAGCATCATCCCTCTTGCATTGTGTGAGGTTTCCTCCGTGTTTGGCTTTTTTCTCTAATTTTCGCAATCAGAAGTCTCAAAGTACTCCTTCATCTTTCGACTAATGAGTTTGTAGATTAAAGAGCACTCAACCCTGTCTCTCTCACCCATGGTCTTCATCCTCCTCCACTTCCCTAACAAATTCTTCGTCTCCTCTGAGATCCTTCGCCTCCATCTCTCCGATATTACTACATCGGCCGTCTTTACGTAGCACCTCAGTTTCTCAGCGAGGTTTTCGCAGTCAACGTCGCGGTTGCTTTCAGACGCCAGTCTTCGCCGGAATTGCGCGTTTGGAACACCGCCTCCTCGACAGACATCTTCGATGTTGTACAATTCTTCATCTCCAATGTCGTCCTCTCGATTTTCTCATTGAAGGTTAGCCTCAAACGCATTGGTCTGTGGTTACTCCTAATGTTGAATGATGACACTGGCTAACTGATGTCTCGGATGATATGGAGTTTATCGAACTTGACGAAGTCGATCTCGTTGGACGCGATCCATGTCGACAACAGAAAACCGGAACATATTGACTGCATAAGTAGAACGGAGGATAAAGATTCAAAACTAGCAAAGTACGCATCGTAAAAAAAAACTACCTCATCCAACAAGATGATTCGAAAAGAGGGACACCGGAGGGAAGAAAAAATTCCGAGGCTGTTATACTGCGACAAACCTGCAGTCTACTGATGAGAGCAACAAGTCAGGGTGATTAGCCTTGATATAACATAAATGGTTCAATGCCTATCCTTATATATCCTTTATCTGTACATTAGATAAAAAGGCAGGCCGTTGCAAATCCTGATGCATCTACACCTGTCATGTTCCAAACCAAAGGTCAATACCCCAAGTTTAGTCTGCAGTAGAAGTAGGTAAAATACCGTGCTAGATACGGGACTGCTGGAGATTTTTTCAAAAATGAATAGTGGTGGCGTGCCTATCAATCCATTTTTTGTATTTGACTGTAAACTAAATAGAATCATGTATGTTTTATTTAATAATATTACTCATAAACTCTAATTTAAAACCAATACCTTGTTTCTTCTGAAGTCCTACTATCTACTTTAAAGGGCTATGCAGATGAAAAATCTAACTCCCTGATAAAATATGCTCTCGTAACTTTTAAAAGCTATGCAACGTTGATGCAGCCTTCAGCATGCATTATTAAATAATTATTGGTACTGCTTTAAATTCGTCTCACCTTACTAACAATTTTTAAAATGGCTGATGATGGTTAAGCCGAAGTAAACGACAGGAAATTTTGCGCCGAAAGCCATCGCCTGTTCTCGATCATTTTAATTAATCAACTTCTTAGTTTACTTTTAATTACTCTTAATTTAAATATTTTTACACGATGCCTCTAATAAGCTACGTCTAAAGGCCATCTTGAAGACGAAAGTTCGGTCACTGGTCATTTCAGGCGACGTCTCAACTCAATGGTCCCAACTTCATAGAGATAGGTGCTTGATCGATTCTTCACAGGGCACAAAACAGCAGATGGTAAGACCATTTTGACCAACGTGTTGCAAGACAAACACCGTAACATCATCAGGGCTGAGCTGAGCTCAAATGGCTGCTTGAAGGCACCTGTATATAACAAGCGAAGTGGCGAACATTGCCATGTTTCCTTAACGGCCCATACCTAAAAACAAATCGGTTTGTAAACAGCTTGACTAGAATTTAAAATAACTAACGCCATGTAAATTTCACATTAAAAGTGCAATCAGATCTTTGTTATGTTGACCCAATCTTGCGTTTGAATTCCTGATTGCACCACATCTTTCACTAATAACCGGAAATATTGCATTCGTTGCACATCCACTGTTTTGTGGTCAGTATATGCGATGACTCCATTATCAGTAGATCAATTTCAGAATGGATTTTGTAAGTGATATACACATTGGTCGCACAGCAGTACACATTGTGCCTTTTAGACATGGCGTGCTGAACAATACCGGAAACATCAGATTTTCTGAGGTAGAGTACAAATAGACGCCCTTTGATACGGATGAACAACCTTTGGTAGGTCCTTGACTGATTCTTGTGATTGTGACCAACTCCAAACCTTGAATGCTCCTCAAAAAATGAAACCGCTTAGCCGTCTTCTAAATCCGATGATTGCAAGGACCTATTGAAAACTGATGTCATATTTTGAGTCTGCAATGCAACTTCTTCTTGGTGAGGCCA